ATCGCTCTTTCAACTTGCAAGGCAAATCCAAGAGGATGTCGCAGAAGCATTAGGATTTTCTACAACTTGCGCTAAATCGTCTACAGATAAACCTCTTAGAATGGTAGGTTCGTTGAATTGAATGGTCTGCCAATTTAATAACCCAATAATCACAAAGTTAAACTTAGGAATAATAAAATTGCGAACGTATCACGACTTCGTGCTTTTAATATTCTATATGCAAGTTTTCTAATATACTCTCTTTCATCCCAAAAACATAGCTAGCAGAACGTTTCCGGGATGGCCAAAGTTCTTTGACTGACATCATAAACTATACTAAGTGACATATAAATCCGAACACCCAGCTTAAATGGTTTTATTTTAATAAAATTTTGTATAAGTACTTAATGAAGCATAATAAGTAAATGATAAAAATTTCAAAATGATTGCACTGCTTTAAAGCCCTTTGACCTTTAATAATGTGTGGATGCACCCTGATGTGCTATGCATTCTCCAACGCGCCTAGGCATGCTTCTGATCAGGTGGTCAATATCCTCCTGTGGTATCTCATTCCAGGCAACCACCAACTCCTCTCGAAGTGCTTCTAGAGTCTGAGGAGGACGTTGCAAATTGAGCAATCTCCTACCCATCATATCCCACACGTGCTCAATTGGGGATAAGTCGGGAGATCTTGGTGGCCATGGTAACAATGTGACATCATTATGTTGAAAGAAGTCTATTGTGACTCTTGCAACATGTGGTCTGGCATTATCTTGTTGGAAAGTTGGATCTGCCAGGGTGTCAAGATAGGGTAAAAGATGGGGTTCTAGAACTACGTGGATATAACGCTGCGCGTTCATGTTACCTCTGATGAAGATTAAAGGTGACCTGGAACCATAAGCTATAGCACCCCAAACCATAACTCCAACAGTGTGATGAACATGTCTTCAACAAAAAACTGTGGATTCCTCCTTTCACCACGTCGCCTTCTAACCCTGGCACGACCATCGTGCATGCCTAAACAAAATCGAGACTCATCACTAAAGACAATACTGTTCCATTCCTGATCCCAGATTGGCCGTTGTCTGCACCACTCAAGGCGATTACGTCGGTGTTCTCGAGTTAAAGGGAGGACCCAGTGTGGCCGGTATGAAAACAAGCCAAAACTTCTCATTCGTCGGTAAACACTTCGCATGCCAATAGTGTTCTGCAAACCATTCATGTGCAATGGACCTGGTAGTGGAGAAACGGTCCCTTAAGGCCAATAACCTTAGGCGGCGATCTTCACGGTCTGTTGTTCTACGGCGGCGTCCAGTGCCCCTTGCTCTTTGCGTACGGCCTTCTCGAAGCTATGCCTGACAAGACCTAACCACAGTGTCTACACTTCTTTGCACTCTAACTGCAATTGCCCGAAAAGAAGGTCCAGCTTCCCGAAGTCCCACTATACGGCCCCTATCAAACTCACTAAGTTGACGAAATCGTACAGGTCTCCGTACTCTAGGCATCGTAACCGATCGTAAAGGATGTCAAGAACCAAAATCCGCCAACGTTGATTCTTAACTGCGGCTGAAATATTCATTTTTAGAGCGATAGTGAATTAAAAAAAAGCAGTATAAAAACCGGAATGTCCATCTGATAAGGCTGAAAATTTTTTCACTTATTATTTACAGTAAGATAAATACATTCATCAACTTTTATTAAAATAAAACCATTTAAACTGGATTTTCGGATTTTTTATGTCACTTAGTATATATTTTTTTACTCCTTTGGCAAATATAGACTTAGCCTGATGGTATCAAAATTATGCTTTGATCCGTAAACGCAAGGAGAAGTGTGCTTGATGTTAAACCACATAAATTTTTATTACAAATATCGATAATGTTACCAATCTATCCGACAGGTCTTTAGTAGCTACATAAAGCCCGAGGATTCGATTTCCTGTGGTTAACCATCTGGAGTGATTAAGCTTTCCAGGATCGCGCTTTGGCGTGTTTTCCATCCAAGTTCCACTTACAACGACTTGACAAACATCGTAAAGGTATTTTTGATCGCAACTTAAATCACTGTTTGGCATATCTGGAGAGTTGATCCAATTCGTCTGAATTTGATAAAGGGCAGATTCTCACAACGCAATATCATCTTCCCGATAGGACCGTTAAATGCTCGAGGTCCAGATGTTTTGCCTAGGTGTTGGACTTAATGCCTTAGAGGGAGTTCATTCGCATGAAAGAGGCAGATTACCCAGTGCAGTGGTGCTACGCTATGGTAGGCAGAATTGGGCGCTATGGAGGTTTCTGTGGTTACCAATAAGTGTTGTCAAGTTTACTAAAATAATTAGTTGATTTATTTTCAATTCTATTTGTTTTACACACTTAAGATTAGGAAAAGAATTCCTGAATGATTTTTTCAAAAATCATGTTATATTTTACGTTTTTCCAACTTTTGCGTATAAAGATGCCTGACCGAAAAATAGTTCTTATATAGTGAGACAAAAAGTTTTTTCCTATAGTACTAACTAATTTAAGTTCCTCATCCACCTCCCCACCACCGTTTTATTAGAAGAAAATGATTTGACCTTGGAGAGGTGGAAGACTAACTCCAATCATTTTTTGTGATGAGAGTGAAATACGAATGCGGCAAATAATAGGTCAATTTTCTAGCTGTTATATTTGGTAGGATATTTTTACTATTTTTGACGACTGTTCATGCATGGCAATCTAGTTTTGTCTGTATACCACGTACAGGCTGTTGTATAAAACACGTATCTGTAGAAATGTATCGATTTTTGTTATTTTGCAAAAAAATACTTGCTTTCCTTAGACACAACTTTTCCGCACCCAGGAATTTTGATTTTTCAAACTTGAAATGTCACACCACCCTACACCGTACAACGTTGATGACACCACCGCCAAAAACCGTGAAAAAACTATAAGTTTCTCCAAATTCCTTTCTAACAGGACATAATCTTCTGAAAGGACACCTTCGCAAAGTAGCGCTGTATGATTGAGACCTCAGCTGCAGTCAATGCGAAACAGGAACAGAATCAGACTTACATGCCTTATGTGAGTGCGGGGCGGTGGATAACGAAATACATGAGCTCTTCAGGAAACCAAAAATAAGTCCAAAAGGCAGCAGTGCTTCCCTTTAACAGTAGCAGTTTCGCGGTCTTTATTTTTCTGTCACCGTGAAAAAGCCCCAATTGTTCAAACGGCTCCTTGTTTTCCCGTAATGTTGATTTTGACTCCAAAACTTAATACACTGAACTGCACTGAAAGGGATTTCAAATCACTCGAAAAAGAGAGCTTTTTCTACAACGGAGATATTTATTTATCTATTTAGGCCACCAACAGATCAACTGATCATTGGGGAGAACAGAACTTTACGCAGTGCATGCATACATTAACAAACATAATAAAATATAACATTCAAGAAATTATAATACATAGTTAACATAACATGAGCACGGAACACCATCTATTTAAGATTTAAGACCATGGACAATTGGTCTAATTAAAGGACCTTTATCAAGAGATCCGTTATGTCCAATTTGTTGCAGCAATTACGAGGCATGTCTTCTAAGTTTTGCATATGGAAATAAAACAACACGGTAGGTAGTTCTAAATGACTTTATTGTTTTTCGAAGTATTCTCTATGAAGATTAATACAAATCTGCATGCGCTCGAATCAATTTTCGAAGCACTTATTCCACTCGTTTGCTCGCAGATCCAAAACGGCGTCTTTGAATGCGTCAACTGCTCCTTCTGTTGACTGGAACATTTGACCACGCAGTCTGTTTTTAATTTTCGGTAAAGTAAAGAAATCGTTAGGACATAGATCGGGACTATATGGAGGATGGTCCAATAATTCCACGTTTTCTTCCATTAAATACTGCCTTGTTTTTTGGGCTGTGTACGAAATTGCATTGTCTTGGTGGAGGATGATTCTTCTTTTGGGGTTGATTTTTCGAAGCTCGGTGATGAGTTTTGGCAAATAAATGGTGGTATACCAATCCGCAGTAACATTTCTTTGCTCATTAAGATGACTTGTTACAATATAACCCGCTTTTGACACATGTCGCGACCATCTTTTTCGAAACACTTCGAGAACGGATGACTTTTGTTGGCTTTTCTTCACCTTGGAACACCCAAACAGGCGACTGTCGTTTATTTTCTGGTTCATGACAGAAAATCCACGATTCATCACCACTAACAATGCTGTACACATTTTTTGAGTTTCCGGAATTGAAACGGTCAAGCGTTTTTTGACACCAATTAACCCTGGCTGCTTTCTGCTCTTCAGTCAGTAGGTGGGGTATCCAACGAGAAACTAATTTTCTTACTCCTAGTTCTTCATGTAAAATTTTTTGAATTAAAGGACGCCTCAATCTCGCGATATGTCACATGTCTATCTTCAATGATGAGTTTGTTCGCAGCATCGAGGTTTTCCTGGGTGACTGCCGTTTTTGGTGCACCCACCCTGGGATCGTCGCTAAGACTCACCCATACATGTTTGAATTCTCCATACCAACGGGAAATTGACGACTGATGTGGCGCTTCGTTGCCGAAAACACACAGTAACTCAGCAAGGCATTCTTGCTGCGATAACACGCTGCACGTATTGTTGTGAAACTTTGAATTTAAGTTTACTAATGAGTGAGGTTAATATTCAGTACTGACTGCAATTCGCGCGGCCTACTATGTTTCTATACGCAAAACTTAAAAGACATCCCTCGTACAGCGCTAAACAGCTCGTAGAAATCACTAGCAAATCGAACGTACATATAAGATCTCATCTTGAAGGAATTTTCATGCTCTAGAACTTTCCTCTTGAGCCCGTTTCACGAATACTTCATGTAGTTATTTTATGTTTGTCCACTTTTAACAAAGTGAGCCAGTAAACTTTTTGTATATTCAGATGCAGAACTTTTATTTACTCTCAAGAGTATATTTCTGTTGCAAAATCTGCATTAAATCTTCTTTTGAAATCCAAGAAATTATGGTTTATCAAGTGAAATTGCAATAAAATATATAAAAAATTTATTTACAATAATTAAATAATATACATTACAATTTTGCAATTCCTAATTAACTACAACTTGTTGTTTTGCTCTTCTGGTTCTGGATGCGCCGCGATCCACTCCAACGCCCTCTGGATCGCTGGAGGGATTGGTGGTGGAGTGGGGAGATGATCTCCTTGGGGTTGGAACCCGTTCTCGTTGGCGATGTACGTCACCTGGATCTTGGTGCCGTCATCCGCGACGTACTCGTACGACCCGGTCACCTCCATCGCCTCATTTTCCGCATTGCCAGCATTCTTCAGCTGCCCTTGTTCTTGGGCTATGATATTGTTACCGGTTTCGTAGCTGGAAAGGGATAGTGATTTGTATCAACACTTCTAGAGCAGAAGGTACATAAAAAAATAACAAAGAAGTTCATTTACTGCCTTTGTGAATTTTGACGTTCATGCATTTCGTTCATGATCACGTTATTCAACAAAAATAGTTATTTTTTCACTGCGTCAAACATTTCATATTAATTATATTCCCTAAGCATAAAAGTTGTCAATCAATTTAACAAAGTAAAAGGTAGTAGCTTTCAAACTGGACTGCTTTTATTCTCCGTATGGTACAAGTACTGCCTCCTTACCCTTTATAACCTGTAGTGATGCTTACCTATTTAGTTTTTCCATGTAATTATTTAATTAATAAATTGAATTATTAGATGTTGAAGAGATTTACGTACTGTTGTGCTTTTTATGTGAGTTTCAATATGAACATATTATACTAAAATAAAATAAAATTCTGCATTATTGCGAAAAAGGACAAAAAATTGGTTGCAGAGTACGAAGGCAAGATTTGCAACAGTTAAAGGTGGATAGCCGTTTATTTTATGCTTCGATAACATTGTGATCCGCCAACACATTCAAATAGCTCTTCTCTAAGTCGTGTAACTATGCAATATTCATTTACTCTTTTCTGTCATAATAATACTATTTATTTAGTCCGAAAAAATCCAAACTTTTGAACACAATTTTCGCAGACTTCTGTTACACACTTTACGGTCTTTTATGTAAGTAGGGCAGAGTAAGTCCGATTGACTCAATCTTTATAAAAATGAATCTACATGTTTCACAATTCTCTTAGGCTCGTCTTCATCTTTGGAAGGTTGATTCGCTTTTTCAAAGTTCTCGATGATGAATTTCGCTTAATAGAATTATATATTATTATAATTTCGTTTAAAACATTTTCAACTCACACGCTTCGGTATAAAAAGCTGCTCAACCACCTGTTTTTCTGAATTATAACAATCAATTCATAACCTCAGGAGAAGCTATTGAACAAATATACAAAAATTGAATAATAACTTAAATGATCCTAAGCGGCTTTGGACAACTATTGATGAGATTACTGGGAAAACGAAAGTTAAAGAGTGTGTCACTGAGTTAAATAAAACATCGGGAACAGTATATATCTGCGACCCCTACAAAAATCCAACCCGTACGTCCTCGAGTTCGTTCTGCGGGGCGGCCTTGGGCGCTGAACCGTGTGCGACCGTGTAGGGGGGGCAACGGGGTGCCGGTCTTGCGGTGGACCGCCTCGATTAGTTTTTGAGGAGACCCGCCGGAAAGCCGGTAGCCCGGCCAATCGAATGATTCGTTGAGCCACAGGTGTCTCGGATGTATATCTGGGACGCCTGCAGCTCAACGGTCATCATGGGCAATGGTACGTTACCCAACCCAAGGTGTTAAGCGATTCCGTGCCGAGGGGTGCGTGGCGGTGGGGATGCACCGTCTTAAACGGAGCCTCTGGGGCACCGGGCGACCTCCCAGAGTATCCAGCCTTGCGTCCGTGTAGGGGCACCGCGGACGTCGATCACCACTTCCCCTATACTCGTGGGAACATTATGGAACCAAACGATAGCAAAAATAATAAAAAACCCGAGGCCCCCCCTACAGGGGACCCCGAACATCCAGGCGACCCCTCACCAGGGGACCCTGATCGTACTCTGACAGAGGAATCTGTCAGAAGCTTAGCGAGAGAGCTAGCGGAAAGGGTGGGCTCTCTAAAGATTAAGAAGAAGTCTCGGCCAGGTTCCGAAAGGAAAAGGGCTCGGAAGCGGAGAGAGGCGCAGATGACGGAGGGCTCGGAAGGTCGGGGCACCACTTCTGGGACCCCGGCTGGACGGACCCAACCGCCATCTGGGCTAGACGGTGCGCAATCCGGTGTGTCAGCGGAGACCCTAAAGCGGCCCGGTGACGGGAAGCGGCAGAGGTCTGCCGGTGGGACACCGGAGGGCGCATCCTCGCGGAAGAAGCCTCGCACTGCGACGCATGCGCAAATGAGTTATGCGCGAGCGTCCCAAGCGGGTCTCAGGGTGGCCGTCGTGTCCGACGGTTATCCTGGGACTCAACTTACTAATGTACAGGTGCAGCAGGTCCAGGAGGCGGTCAGTGTGCTGATAGATGGGATCCCAGATGAGGTGACCCTTCCCAGGTACATTGACTGCTACCTCTCTCGAGGGGCAGCCATCTTTGTCTGCGAGGACGAATCCTCTAGGGCATGGTTGGAGGCCCACGTGGGGGATCTGCGGCCGTGGGAAGGCGCAAGGCTCATTACGATGAGCTTTGGAGACCTTCCCATATACCACCGCGTGATGGCCTGGTTTCCGGGTCCCAACCTGGACAACGAGGTCATCACGAGGAGACTCAGGAGGCACAATCCTGGGACTTTTCCCAGCGCGTGGAGGCTACTTGAGAGGAAGGAAGAGCCGATAGGTGTCCGACTTGTCCTCTCAGTTGATTCCATAAGCTGGAAGGTCATTGTAGGTAACGGCAACAGGCTGTGTTGCGGTGGAAGTTCGGGGGTGTTTACACTCCTGAGCAAGAAGAAGAGCAGTGGAGCGACACCTGCTGGAACTGGCCTGGCTCCAAACCAGGAGTCGGACCAGCCCAGACCGACGGGAGCTGTGGCGGTAGACCAGGCTCCTTCACAGGGGATGGGTCGGCCGGGTCAGCTCTCGCTGGAGCCACCGGAGGCTACGGACGTGGAGGCGGCGGGTCCAAGCGGGATATCCGCAGAAAACATCGTGGCGGACCCTGCGATGGATCCGGTCCCAGAGGGAAACGATAGCGACTCGGACGAGGATGGAATCCTGAACCGAGTCCGAGAACTCCTCCGTGGAAGCGGAGATGAAGGCGGCTGTGGCAGCGATGACTGCGGCGGCGACGGCGGTACGCCCGAATAGGGGTTACATACCGTCATTCGGGAAGGTGTAGGAAGGGCCTCTCAACATCCATGGTAAGTTTTAATTTCATCCAAATTAACTTACAACACTGCATAGCGGCTTCGAGGGCCCTTACTCAGGAGATCACTCGAGGCCGACATGACGTGGCTCTCATCCAGGAACCCTGGCTGAGAAACGGTTCAGTAAACGGGCTTAGTATACCGGGCTATACGCTTTTTAGCGATACTCCGGACACTAAGCCCAGAGCTTGCGTAATGACTTCCGTCAACTCATGGCAACTTAAAGAATTTACATTCAGAGACTTAGTTGCAGTCAGAATTAGATATAAGAAGGAAGGCAGTGACAGGGACTTGGTTGTCTGTTCGGCTTACCTTCCTTACGATTCAAGAGACCCTCCTCCGTCTAAGGAAATGGGGGACCTTGTCGCATTCTGTAGGGATTCTGGACTCGACCTTGTGATTGGATGCGACAGTAATGCCCATCACGTTGCGTGGGGCAGCTCGAACACCAACAGACGGGGCGAAGACCTGATGGAGTTTCTTGGGGCATCGAACCTTGAGGTTCTGAATGTCGGTAACATGCCCACTTTCAGCAATAGTGTAAGAGAAGAGGTTATCGACGTAACACTGAGCACGCTTAACTTAGCTCAGGACATCAGGGACTGGAAAGTGTCTCTAACACCCTCTCTATCGGATCACAGGTATATACTGTTCAAGACTGATGGAGAGATTCCGGATAAATATGCTCGGAATCCCAGGCATACTAGATGGGGGTCCTTTAGGGCAGACATTGACAGTAAGCTTGGAGCGGTCCCATACAGGCTTGGCAGGGGCTCTGACATAGAAGCAGCTGTCGAGTCTCTGAGCAGGGACTTGACGGCCGCATATGAGGAAAACTGCCCATTACGCAAAGTACAAGGTAAGGGCAAGGCAACCTTCTGGACCAAAGATTTAGAGGATAGAAAACGAGCGGTGCACAAACTTCTTAGCAGAGTTAAGCACAGGAGAGGTTCTACTCTATGGGAAGAATACAAAAAGGCATTGCAGGAGTACAAAAAGGAGATTAGAAGGGCCTCCAGAGAATCCTGGAGGCACTTCTGTCAGTCCATAAATGACATTCCTGCTACTGCAAGAATACACAGAGTCCTATGCAAAGACATTAAAGCAAGATTGGGATCTCTGCATGATCCCTCGGGGGGGAACACTACTTCCGAGGAAGATACTCTGAGGCTTCTGATGGATACGCACTTTCCCGGTTCCACAGTAGCGCGATCAATCACAGAGTGCATGCAGTGGCGCAGGCCCTCAAGGGAGGACTGGCGCACGGCAAGGGAGATTGTCACCTTCGAAAGGACGGTATGGGCAGTAGATTCGTTTGCCCCATACAAAAGTCCAGGTCTGGACGGCGTATTTCCGGCCATGTTACAGCAGGGACGGATTTCGGTTGTTCCTTACCTGTTGAATGTGTTTCGAGCATGTGTGGCCACGGGCTTCACACCTAGAAGTTGGCGGCAGGCTAAAGTGGTATTCATTCCTAAACCGGGCAGAGATAGATATACTGGCCCGAAGGATTTTCGACCGATTACTCTTTCATCTTTTGTGCTTAAGACCCTGGAAAGGATAGTTGATAGATACCTAAGGGATGGCCCACTGGAAAGGTGTGTCATTCATGCAAATCAGTTTGCATACCAAGCTGGAAAATCGACTGATCTGGCCTTACACAATCTGGTCGGGAGGCTGGAGAAGACCCTAGATCAGCGAGAAGTGGCACTCGTGGCCTTCTTAGATATTGAAGGTGCATTTAATTGCACCACAACCGACTCTATCAGACAGGCCTTGGTTAGACACGGGGTTGGATCAATCCTAATAGATTGGGTCCTCTCTACTCTGGAGGGTCGGGTAACAACAGCTATGCTGAATAACGTAAGCTGCAGCGTGAACGTAGCTAGAGGCTGCCCTCAGGGTGGAGTTCTGTCACCCCTACTGTGGTGTATCGTGGTGAACGAACTGCTCGTTAGGCTAAACAGTATGGGTGTCTACGTGCAAGCCTATGCTGATGACGTAAGCATAGTGGTTAGGGGGCGTTTCTGTAGAACAGTCTCGGAAATTATGCAGGGCGCTCTGCGCTCCGTGGAATCGTGGTGTAGGGAAGTCGATCTTTCTGTTAATGCTGAAAAGACCGAGCTAATCCTATTCACTAGGAGAAGAAGGCTTGACGGACTGGTCATGCCTACCTTCTTTGGGACTAGATTAGTTTTGTCCCAGTCAGTGAAATATCTGGGAATTATCCTGGACTGCAAACTGAACTGGAGAGAGCATGTGGAACACAAGGTTAGCAAGGCTCGCAATTCGATGTGGGCTTGTAGACGTGTTGTCGGTGTAAGGTGGGGGCTTAAACCCAAAGTGGTATACTGGCTCTACACGACGATAGTACGTCCATCTCTCTTGTACGGCTCCCTGGTCTGGTGGCCTTGCATTAGAACTGAGTCAACTAAGGCCAAACTCAATAAAATTCAGCGTTTGGCCTGTATTAGCATTACAAGCGCAGTGCGAACAACGCCATTGAGTGCAATGGAAGCTCTGTTGGATCTCCCACCGTTGGATCTGGTGATCCGCGGTGAAGCGAGAGTAGTCGCTCAGCGACTGTGGAGTCAGGGCAGCTGGGCTTTCTTGAATCCGGTCAAGGGGCATACTGCCATATTAGTCGAATTAGAAAGGGAGGACCCCGTCCTTCTAAGCAGGGGTGATCGTATTACCCCTAAATATCGCTTCAACCGCAAGTTCATTGTGGAGTACCCAACGAGGGAGGAGTGGGACGCCGGTAGCCGAGGACTCTCCGAAGTGAGCGGGCAGGTCTGGTACACGGACGGCTCGGTCACCGAAGAGGGCTCAGGTGCTGGGGTCTCTGGACCTAGAACTAGGCTATCTCTGCCTCTCGGTGAGTACACCACCATTTTCCAGGCGGAAATCTTTGCGATTCTGGCTTGTGTATCTCACATTCTGGAGGAGGGTGGGCCTAGGAGAAGAATAACAATCTTATCCGACAGCCAGGCTGCAATGAAAGCACTAAGTGCATGTAAGATTACTTCGAGTCTTGTATTGCAATGCAGGGAGGCTCTGGATTGCCTCGCAGCGAGGCATCCGGTATCGTTAATATGGGTACCGGGGCACGCTGGGATAAGGGGCAATGAGACGGCGGACACTCTGGCGAAAACAGGATCAGCCAGCAAGCTCGTTGGTCCTGAGCCAGCTCTAGGAGTAACCGCGCATAAAGCTAGGAGGAAAATGGAGACGTGGGTTGCAAGACAACACTCTCAGAAATGGAGAAGTATCTCTAGACATCTCCGCCAGGCACGAGAGCTCATTGAAGGGCCCAGTGCTAAGGATGGACGCTTCTGCCTATCTCTGGGTAGAGCCAACCTAAGGTTGCTGGTGGGACTGTTGTCTGGCCATAACACGTTAAGGCGGCACCTGCACGTGATGGGGGTGGCTGAGGATCCCTTGTGCGAACGCTGCGGAGTAGAGGAAGAGACCTCGGCGCACGTTTTGTGTCGCTGTGAAGCTCTGAGCTACTATAGGCAGACTATACTGGGGTCCATTACTTTGGACCCTCAGGACGTAAAGGAGCTTGGACTCAAGGCGATTCTCAACTTCGCTAAAAGGGCGAGGCTTGTGATTTAAGTATTGTAGAGGTGCATAAGGGCCCGCTTAAGCGGCCTATGCACTGGCTCCTTATGGTGGCCGGGATGCCTCTAAAATTCAAGATTCATTCATTCATTCATATATCTGCGATGAATTTGTACAATTCTTTACTGACATAGGCGAAAATTTAGCAAGTAATATACAAGCAAATGTACAAAATACTCGGCCTCCAAAAAGAACTTTGAACTCATTTATTTTGGATAAAGTCGAGCAATGTGAAGTATACACCACTGCTATGTCCTTAAAAAATCGGAAAAGTCCTGGGTTCGATGGTATTAAAAGCGAGCATTTGAAAATTATAGCCGAGGACGTAACAGAACCACTCACTTACCTAATCAACAAATGCTTTGAATCTGGCATATATCCCTCAATTTTAAAAAAACGTAATATAATACCGATACATAAATCAGGAACAAAAAGAGATGTTAACAACTATAGACCAATATCAATAATATCCAGTGTAGCAAAGGTTTTTGAAAAAGTTTTATCTACTAGAATGATTCGATACCTCACAAAATTCAAAATTTTAAGTGAAAATCAATATGGGTTTACAGAAGGGAAGGCTACATCGGACGCAATAACTAAAATTGTAAATCAAATACATCAAAATATTGATAACAGAATCCCTTCAATCTGCATTTTTGTTGATTTAAAGAAAGCTTTCGACACAGTTAATCACAAGTTATTATTAGAAGCATTGGAGAGAATTGGTTTCAGAGGAAACGCGTACTCACTGATCGAAAGTTATTTGTCAAATCGCCCACAATCTGTGCAGATATCAGGATCATTTAGTAAAGAAATGTATATTAAGTATGGTGTCCCACAAGGAGCTGTCTTAGGTCCGCTGTTATTCAATATATATTTAAATGATATTTTCCAAATTAATTGTGTTGGCAAAATAACTAGTTTTGCAGATGATACTGCAATATTATATGAAGGCACTGACTGGTCTGATCTGAAAAATGCAATTGAAAATGATTTTATCAAAATTATTCGGTGGTTTAACAGTAGAAAATTAAGCATTAAAACACATTTTTTACCATTTGGATCTTATCTGCCAAATTACACAAATTTCTCCTTCAATATTAATGATCAAAAAATGCAAATTAATAGAGTGCCCAACATAAAATACCTTGGAGTGGTCTTGGATCCTCACTTACGATGGGACATCCATGTCAATTATATTTCAAAGAAAGTTAGATTTGTATCCTACAAAATTAAATACCTTGGGAATATATTGACAGAAAAATATCTTCGAACATTATACCATGCACTGATTGAGCCTCATCTCACATATGGTATATTAGCATGGGGAGCTGCATGTTCCTCACATATCTATAATTTAGATGTTTTTCAAAAAAGTATTCTAAAAATGATATTTAAAAAACCGAAACTTTATCCCACTGAAAAATTATACGCAGATGTTCGAATGTATGATATAAGACAGCTTTATTTCTTACACAGTATCACTCACTACCATAAATTTGTAAACACCGACCAAAAAATTAAACATAATCATTATACCAGGCACAAAATTCGTGGCACAGTAGTTCCTCAACCGCATAAATCTATAATGCAGCGATCATATCTCTATTTAGCGCCTAAATTTTATAAAATTATACCTAAAGACTTAAAAGATTTACGTTTCGGAAATTGTTTCAAAAGAAATCTAAAAAAGTGGCTACATTCTATATCTAGGACTGAAATTCATAAACTCATAAATACGAACATCAACTAAACACATAATCTACTGTAGCTAATTTTTGTCCTTTTTTGTCATTTGCATTCTACAGTTTCAACTTAAATTTATTGGTCCATGTACAGGCGATGCCTTCTATTGGGCCTGTTTTGATTTTATATTTATTTACTCATATTGTTTGTTATCTTTGTACATTGAGTGAATAAATATTATTATTATTATTATTATTATATATGTGATGGGTAATCAGAGAACCACATTATTCCGCATAGTGAAGAACCTGTAAAATGCATAGCTTTCCCACCATCAGGCACTGAAGGTATTAACCAGAATGTTTGATGCATATAGAGCCAATAATAAGTTCCACGATATTTTTCAGACATAGATTCATTGCATATTTTATACTTGTGTGAAGATAATCGGTAACTTCGAATATCGGTTATGACGACGATAAGTAATTTTCAGATTTTAATAAATATTTAGCGCAGTAATTTGGCGACACCGTTCTTATAATTATGTAGTGACATATTTTTCGAAATGTCTAATTCTACTTCTGAGGCTATGTATGACTCTAATGTTTTGACTTCCTGAATATACGCAATAGACAACTATTATTTTGTTGAAAATTACTAACAACATGCAACATGAAAAGTCTTGTAAAGGAGAGTTTTCTCATAATGCTAGAGTATGAATAAGTGTGGCAAGATGCGTATGTCCGCTGGGAAATGACAAAAATATGAGCTATGAAACTGTTCACTTGTTTGTTTTGACGAGGCACGTGTGTACGCTATTTTACATAACTACAGCTATAGAGCTATTAAGCCGTTGAGACAAATAATAGCTGGCCGAAGTTCCACCCTTGTTGTCAGCATGATAAAATCTTAAGTCGCAGTATCGTAGAATCTTCATCGCGCAAAAAAGAATCATTAGAAACATGTTCAATTTATCGTTCAGGACATCTTGTAGGCACTATTCCAAGAAATGCCAATACTCATAAAAATAAATCTACCTTTCAGAAAAACTCGTTCTTCTATGACTATAAGGAACCAATTTTGCTTAGACAAGCACAATTTAGCCACTCCTGAAAAGTCGCCAATATACTTTGGTACAAGAATATACAATTATTTAAAAAAATCAATTAAATAAATAGATAACGGTATGCTCTTCAAAAAGTACCTTAAAACTCTTAAGATTTTATATAGAGTAGATGAGTTGCTTGTTTTTTTGAGGGACCAGTAATAATTGTATACGTAATTGCCACGAGGGACATCAACCTGGTATACACATGTACGTTTTAATTAATTAATCTGTATTAAGTTTGTTTTGTTATTTTAGTTTGTCTTTTATTTCGTCTTTACTTTTTAGAAAAATTGCATGTTGTGCATGAACGTATACATGTACGTGTGTCTATACTTATGTACAGTGTTTGGACCTGATGAAGGCATTTGAATTTGAAGAGTTTTTGCATCACTCACTTTTCAATTAATACCTACTATTGTGATACGACTACTTGAAAAGTGTTTGGATCCGAAATAAGCGAGTGCTTAACTCGCTGATATCTCATACAGGATGTTCGAATACTAATTTACTAACTTTTCACAAAACTGATATCTAGACTATCACTTACTTCCACTGGTACGATCCATCCGGGTTGACACCTTCATTTTCATATCTCACTATCGGGATTGGTTCCTCAGATGTGCCTGATTTTGCAGGTAGTGGCTGTGATGCTGTTTGCGGCCTCGCAAAGACTGCAGTTATGGCAAGTGAGAAAATGATCTGAAAGATAAGTTGTGGTTAATAAAGAGAATTGCAAATGGGAAACCACAGATTCAAACACCGCTGGTCAAAACGATGTCACTCATTTATTTATGTTGGTCGTTTTGTCTACATATTTCCACCTGAATTGAATTTTGGAGGAGGCAAGAGCTGCTCCAGGAAAGAGTGGGTAAAGAGACAAATCCTGGTTTGATTCCGTTATGATCTACATATCTTTGAGTAGTAAGCACTAGTCTATATTTATTACATGCGGCAAATTGCTGGTAGGCTCCAAATGACACATGATATTTTGAGAGTGAGGGAGCTCATATTGCTTGCAAGGTTGTTTAAGTGTATGTTAATCGGAATAAAAAATTGTGTTCTAAAATAATAATAATAATAATATTTATTCGCCAAGATACAAAAAATGGGCAAATAAATATGAAAAAACCACAGAAGGCATCGCCTGTGTGTGGTTTATATCTTAATAACTAACAATCAATCATATATGTGTATAACAATTATTGTTAAATGTAAAAGGTATTAATGTAATTGAAATTTTGTAGTTTTAGTTTGCTATATAATTATGTATAGTCATTCGCTGCACATTACTAACCCAGTCTTTCAATTTTCTTCTAAATTTTTTTCCAAAATTAAGTATCTTTATTTCATTTGGTACTACATTATATAATTTAGCTGCTAAGAATTTAAATGATTTTTTGAATAATGTTTTGTGTAGTCTTTGGATATTAGATGAGCCTATTCGAAATCGTGTGTTATGCTCGTGTTTATAGGATTTTTTATTTTTATTACAATACTTATGGTATAAGGTGGTGGCATGTAAGAAATAAAGTTGTCTTGTATCAAGTATCCCTGTTTCTTGATATAAGTTGTTCGTTGGATATAATCTTGGCTTATGGAAAATGGCTTTCAAAACAGTTTTTTGTGTTATATTCAGGTCAGAAATATATGTCTTGCAGGCGGCACCCCAGGCTGTGATGCCGTATATTATATGGGTTTCAACTAAGGCGTGGTATAGGATTCGCAGATAACTTTCTGTAAGAATGTTAGCAAGCATTTTGAGTTTATAGGCAACATTTCTAATTTTTTTGATAACATATTTAATATGGTTATCCCACCTGAGATGTGAGTCTATAAATATTCCAAGATATTTCAAAGTGTTAACTCTATCGATTTTGGTCTTTTGGCCATGATAATTAACGGAAATTTGTTCGAAGGTTGGTAAAAATTTTGAATAGGATGTAAATGCAATAAATTTTGTTTTTTTGAAGTTAACTGTTAAAATTTTAGTATCAAACCAGTCAATGATCCTTATAAAATCCTTTTCAGCTATTTGCTTCAGTGTGCTCCAGTCATCAGCTTTATATAATACGAGGGTGTCATTTGCAAAACATATAATCTTTCCAGAACTGTTAATTTTGAACAAGTCATTTAAGTAGAGACTAAATAATAGTGGGCCTAGTACTGTTCCTTGAGGCACACCACACTTGATGTACATTTTTTTACTGTAAGTGTTAGTGATTTTGACAGTCTGTGCCCGACTTGAAAGGTAATTTTTTAAAAGGATTTGTGACGCTCCCCTAAATCCCAATCTTTCCATAACTTTCAGAAGCTCGACATGGTTAACCGTATCAAAGGCATTTTTTAGATCAACAAAGATACCAGTAGTAGGTATGTTTTTGTTGACATTAGAGTTAATTTCATCCATTGCAGCCAAAATTGCATCTGTAGTAGATTTTCCTTTTCTAAATCCATATTGGTCAGAACATATAATTTTGTTTTTGTCCAAAAAATTTAATATCCTTTTTTGTAGTAATTTTTCGAAAATTTTGGCTATATTCGATAGTACTAATATGGGTCTATAATTTGATGTTTCCATTCTGTCACCGCTTTTATAAACAGGAGTAATAACAGTTGTTTTAAATGCATCACGACAAATTCCAGATTGGAAACACCAATTAATGACGTAAGAAAGTGGTTCGGCTAAGTCGTAGGCTATTATTTTTAAATGGTCGGCTTTGATACCATCTACACCAGGACTTTTTTTGGTTTTAAGTGATAGGACAGCTTCTTGTACTTCAATCGGACTAACGCTTTCTAAAAAGAATGAATTGGGAAGTTGGGTTTTTGTGAACTTTTCGTTCGAAACCATTTTTTTAATACTGGATGCTAAATTTTCTCCAACATTAATGAAAAAATTTAAGAATGCATCGGATATTTGTCGTTTATCTGTTAATATTGTTCCATCACGATTCTTAATTTCATCAATATTTGGCTTTTCTTGAACGTCTTTGTTAGTTACGTGATCGACAACTGACCACAGTTTTCTTGGATCAGATTTGGCATCTTGTAATTTTTTTAGATAGAATTGGCGTTTTGCTTCTCTAACTAGATTGATAAAAATATTTTTATATTCTTTATATTTATGGGAGGTATCTGCACATGGCGAAGCTTTCATTATTTTTTATAGTTCCTATTTTTTGTTGGCAGACTTTATCAAACCTTTAGTTATCCAGGGATTCCTGCTTCTGTCAAAATGTTTAATTTTAACTCTGTTTGTACTACATTCAATTAAATATTTTATGCGTTCAATGAGCGTGTTTGCAGCATCATTAACATTCGTTGCACAGTACACTGCTGTCCACGATTCTAATTTGATATTTGCAAGTAGTTTTTTATTATCGACAAAACACCTAAATTTCATTGTTTTATTATTGGAGATGGATCTACTTTTATTTTTTTCTGGTGATGATATAAGTATTACAGTGGGTAAATGATCGGTAATATGGTTTTCAACAATTAACGCTTTGTACCGAAAGAAATTTGAAAAATTTTTGATGAAACAATGATCAATGCAAGAACTGGAACTATTATTGACTACTCTTAATCAAGCCAAATTGTATTCAACGACGACCTGGAACTTGTTTGGCGAAAATGTATTGATTGATTGAAGTAGCAAGTCAGCAGGTTTTTTGTTTGTTGGAAGCCTTGCTTGAACCGCGAAACCCGTATTGAAGATAATAATATCAATGTTTGCTTTGGAATCTAAATGACGAGCGTGGAAATGATGTTATTTTTTATTTTTGACTTATTGACACATTAAAGGAGATTTTACTTAATTACGCAGATCGCCACCTTGAAAGAACATTATTCATAGATTGCCATCAGTATTGCTTATTGTATTATTCATAGCTTTACGCATACCTCAAATATTTGTCAACATCCTTGATTTAATCCTAATTTACCGAAGATGTTGTATTACCGATCATCCTCTTGTGTACACATAAGGTCCATGCGTTACATAAGAGCATGAACGGGTATGTCAAGGTTAAGAGTAAAGACGTCTGAGAAATTCGAAGAAACAACCATCCGAAGGTTCAATAGGTCAAAGCATCGCCTCATAAGTAAGAGCTTATTAATTTGGCCGATTGGATAATTATAAGTTTTTCAATGCTTTCTACTAATGAATTAAATCTCTTGCTGTAGATGCACATTTTAATTTTATGATTATTTCCATGGTATTGGCAAATCATTACACACCTAATTTGTTCACGATATTGGAATTTACTTAATAAGTAATAGACATAATGAATGACTTCTTATCTATAATGTACTGTGTCACATACATCAACGCGTTTCCCAAGTATCGTTTTTGACAGTCTCAGTAACACGAATATTGTAATTTAGGATTTCATGTACAATTTCTTAATGGAACCAAAATGTAACTATAGGCAACCGACAAAGTTAGAAGCTATTTTTCCAAATTAATTGTGTTGGCAAAATAACTAGTTTTGCAGATGATACTGCAATATTATATGAAGGCACTGACTGGTCTGATCTGAAAAATGTAATTGAAAATGATTTTATCAAAATTATTCGGTGGTTTAACAGTAGAAAATTAAGCATTAACTACCCTAAAACACATTTTTTACCATTTGGATCTTATGCTAGACATCTGCCAAATTACACAAATTTCTCCTTCAATATTAATGATCAAAAAATGCAAATTAATAGAGTGAACAACATAAAATACCTTGGAGTGGTCTTGGATCCTCACTTACGTTGGGACATCCATGTCAATTATATTTTAAAGAAAGTTAGATTTGTATCCTACAAAATTAAATACCTTGGGAATATATTGACAGAAAAATATCTTCGAACATTATACCATGCACTGATTGAGCCTCATCTCACATATGGTATATTAGCATGGGGAGCTGCATGTTCCTCACATATCTATAATTTAGATGTTTTTCAAAAAAGTATTCTAAAAACGATATTTAAAAAACCGAAACTTTATCCAACTGAAAAATTATTCGCAGATGTTCGAATGTATGATATAAGACAGCTTTATTTCTTACACAGTATCACTCACTACCATAAATTTGTAAACACCGACCTAAAAATTAAACATAATCATTATACCAGGTACAAAATTCGTGGCACAGTAGTTCCTCAACCGCATAAATCTATAATGCAGCGATCATATCTCTATTTAGCGCCTAAATTTTATGAAATTATACCTAAAGACTTAAAAGATTTACGTTTCGGAAATTGTTTCAAAAGAAATCTAAAAAAGTGGCTACATCCTATATCTAGGACTGAAATTCATAAACTCATAAATACGAACATCAACTAAATACATAATCTACTGTAGCTAATTTTTGTCCTTTTTTGTCATTTGCATTCTACAGTTTCAACTTAAATTTATTGGTCCATGTACAGGCGATGCCTTCTATTGGGCCTGTTTTGATTTTATATTTATTTACTCATATTGTTTGTTATCTTTGTACATTGAGTGAATAAATATTATTATTATTATTATTTATTGGCCTAGAATACCACGGTATACCTTCAAGCTTCAATATGTACTATCTGTGTTAAAAGTCCCAAGAAACTGCTACCGGAAGTAGGCATCTTCCGGCCTGGATCATATGCGATTTGGTTTCTCTCTGTTTAGGTAAAGTTAGTTATCGACATTTTTCCATAGACCTCTGAATCGTGTCAATTACCTTTAGACGTGGATATTGACCACCACTATAGTGCCAGATAACGGACATTTTGTAAAAGCTTACGCTTCCGTTTCGTTATATTAGATAAGTCTATATATGCAAAAAATATGTGTCAATACAAGAATTTTAGCCCAACGTCGTGTAGTTTTATTTAACTGCCCAAAGTTGTTCTTATAGCTTGCCAATATAATAACTGTTAAAATACGGATATGATGGGCACCTTATGATAGATGGAGTGAAGACTAGATCAGGCAAATTACCCAAAACTATAGCAAATTTTTACAGCGGAATGATTCCCATTGCGACTAAACGTCAAAGTTGGAAAAATCCAGAGAAGTTATAGCGAACGACTTTCAAAATGAGACCCTGTATTTTTGAAGACAATTACTCTTTGAGAAAATAGCAGCAACTAATATTTATGAAAAGCTGTTGAGAATTTTTGAATTATTGTCTTTAATTATTAATCAAGAGGAATCCTATTACCGTTTGATGAAAAAGTTTTTCACGAGAACATATTTTATCCCTCAATATGAGGTAGAGTTTTTCTGTGACAGCTCTATATTTGCGACCTCATTCTCGCAACTCCTTTAAAATGCACGAATAGTAATACGCATTTACATTTTATGGTCATTGGGCTTTTGTAACCCTTGAAACTGCCGTTATTACGTATTCGGCTCATATTCATGAGCTTCCCATTGCAAAATTGGGTGTGATTCCTTCGATAATTGCTGATGTTTACAAGCGAGTAATTTTCATGCATGATTATGGCCTGTCAAAACCTCACCTAAAATGTCCGATAATTGAATGCCACTAACCCATAAAACTGTTACACGCTCAATGGAAATTTTGGACTCCTTTAATTAATTCTTACTTTTTCTGTGTGCTCGTAATCGTAGTCGCTGGACACTGTTAACACAATTACTTTTATTTTATGTTTCTGTGTTATTTCGGGGAACGACGCGTGGGAACTTACAAATTTAGTCGGTCTAATTGGATAAATTAATTATTTATTTTATTGATATAATTATTAGTAACTCACAAGAATTTTATTTCCGTTCATTTCAATATTTCGTTAGAAACCGTCAGTATAGTATCGGATATGTTACAATACATAATTTTTACAGTTATGCATAGTCACGCGTCTCGACCTATAGAGTTGTAAAACATACGAAGAGATGAAGATAGTTGAGTTGAGTAATGAACTGAAAATAGTATTCAATGATAGATCTTATGATAAATTGATTGTAGATTCAAAAGACAAAAGATGTACAAAAATATATGTGCATTTAGACAAAAAGGATTTGACAAATCTCAACATACAGATCATTCCTAAAACAAGGAACAAAATGCAAGGAATAATTGTTTAGTATATTCTGTTGTTTGACGATTTTCGAAACAACGCTTCGTTTAGCAGATACAGGCCTCCAAATGACGTCAGTGAAAATCAGTTTTTCTTCAATAACGATTAAACAATACTGAATAATATAACTAAATTTTTACAACACAATAACAAATGTTCCCAGAGAACAATTAGCACATTTAGATGGATAGAACGGATTCGCCTTAAGCAATGTTGCTGAACTTTTTCACAGCCTGGATAACAATGGCTCAAAGGTACTATTTTTTAAAACCTTAATATACTGTCTGAAAATTTTATTCTTCTATTGAATGGAACGTTTTTGAGAAAAACCGCCATATTTCAATACTGCCCTGATCGATCTACGCTACAATTTCCAAAAAGTTCGATCAAAACCGCAGTTTAGTAGAGCGATCTGAAAATTTACATACGGATTTTGAATGTGTGGTCAAGATTACTATGTTTTCAAAATGATGGAAAATTTATCGCCGTGTTAGTATGCCAAACAACAAAATCATACTGAATCAAGGCTGTTTTTCTCCAAAATGACTAATTTTTCAGAAATCAAACTAAAATACATCTTTACGGGAGAAAAACAGGCTTCTAAAAAACATGTATGTCTTGGTATCAAAATTTATAGCATTACGTTCAGGTTAGTCCATTTCTGGCGAGCAAAACGAGCTAATACTATGGACACCATCATGTAAGTGAGTTACCAGGTTGTTTAGCGTTTTTCAAATGTTGTTTAAGGAAAACCGATTTGATGAAGTGTGCTTGAGGGACATGTACCCCGTGTAGTCGTATGGGGGCGACATTTAGAAAATCCGGCGAAATAGCATAAAACGTCAACCCCTAAATTTTGCCCCTTATTTCGGAAACGCCATTCATTTCTTCAATATGCCCTAAAATAATCAGATTATAGAAAATTCACAAAAATAGTGACTTCCAGGATATCTTTAAAGCTCTAGAAATAGAACTGTATATCACTAAATTCCTTTTATAATCTCCTATAGTTTCTAGTATTAAAAAAAATTGCTTGACTATACAGTCCAAAAGATGTCAGAGGGAACTTAGCAAACAGATTCGGAAAAATATACTCCAAACAACTATGTGAAGAAATGATATATTTGGTTCAACAATTAGGTATGTTAAGGTTTTGAAATTCAGCCAGTGACAGCAATTTTTATCGAAAATTGTTTGTTTATTGATTGCCAGTAACAGCTCAATGACTATCAAAAGTTGTATGAACAACAGCTAAAAGTACTCAAAATTAATACGATGTTTAGGGGTACCAGTCTCGAGAATTATTGGAGAACGTTAAATATAATGATCAAGGGATATCGTTTAACCTCCAGAAAAAACTATGTTGTGGTGTATCAAAATCTCAATATAATATAGATGAAAAGTGCGCCGTAATGAGTAGGATTCAATAAGAACACGGACATTTGATTAATAAGTAAATGAACATCTCGATACCTAGATACTCAGGGGTACGAGAATTACAAAAGAGACGTTACGACAATATTATCAGAGAAAATCGTCCAGTTATCAACTGGCGCCAGAAAAATAACTGGCTTACAGTGTGACAAAAGCTCAATATACATAGTGTCAGTGACGTAGCGGGCCATATTCAGAGGGGTGAGTTTTTTAGGTGGAACCAGGAAAAGTAGATAAAAACCTAGAAGTCGTTGCAACATACAAGATGTCGGAATTTTTAATTTATTTTATCAATCATTTAAGTCAAATCACTCAGTTAAAAAAACATAACAAAGACCACAAGTCATCATAACCGTACAGATTACTGGATTTAATCCCATAAACCTTTTCTGGGGTTAGATTTTCAGTGTTGATGAATATAAAAATTCTCCAAATTCCAACTAAATAGGCAGAAGCATAATTGAATTTTTTACAAAAAAATATATTTTAAAAAAATACGCTGCATCTTAAAAACAAGTCACCCCCGAACCTCTGTCAATATAAAGATTCCACCGTTTAAGAAGTCATTACCTGAAGTTAGGATAGATACTCTATTAATAAGTGAATTTAATCCGCGAACCGGATTAGAATTAACTAAAAAAATGTGAATAATGCGTTTTTTCGAAGAGTCATAATCAAGTCAACGAGATAATTTTCGCCCTAATTTCATTAACCGCTGGGGTATATCCAAAAATCCACAAAGAAGCACTCGAGGCACACAACACTACACCACCGGAAAACAGTCCAAAGATACGTACCAATTTCATGTTTGGTCTGTTGATAATCTACCTAAACGTTGACTACGCATCTCAAATCGGGATAATGTTATTTATATTTAAAAAAAGCCTATCCCCACCGTGGTGGATCGTCGAAAAGTGTATTGTTAACGTTGGGTACCGGAGCATGATGATGCAATGGCCCGATCCCACGCCGGGCCGTCGCGTACCGACGGTACTGCTTCGCGGTTTGGTTTGGTGCCCCAAAATCGGGGGAGACCAGAGACGATTGGAGAGTGTTCAACGTAAGTGCATCATTTCTTTTGCTCATAGAGACGTGAAGGGAGCGTAGTAGATAGTAAAATTTTAACAGCTAACCTCAAAAAAACATAATTAATTGCATTTACATCTTATTTAAAATGTTTACCTAGCTTTGAACAAATTTCCGTGAATTGTTGAGGCAGAAAAACAAAAGTCGATGGAGTTAACAGCTCAAAATCTCTTGGAGTAGGTATATTTATTGACTCACATTTAAGGTGGGATAATCATATTACTTATGTTAGCAAAAAAATCAGAGCCTGTTAACTCAAAATGCTTGCAAACATTTTTACAGAAAGTTATCTCCGAATACTACCATGCCTTAGTCGGAATCCATGTAATATACCACAGTCTAGGGTGCCACCTGCAAGACATATGTTTCTGATCTAGATGTAGCACAAAAAGCTGATACAGGATTTCGAATAGGCTCATCTAGTATCCAAAAACCACACAAAACATACAATCATTTAAATTCTTAGCAGCTAAATCATTTAATGTAGTACCAAATAAAATAAAAATACTTAAAAATGAAAAAAGATTCGACAAATATTAAAGGACTGGGTTTGTACTGTGCAGCGAATGTTTGTACATAATTAAATAGAAAACTGTAATTGCAAAATGAGAAACTATATAAATAGTTTTTAGAATCAATTATATATACAGGGTTATCCAAATTAAGTGTCCACCATTAGTAACTTTGTTATTAGTGAAAATACAAAGTTGTTTGAATTAGCAAACTAGTAGCATTTTTAACGCTGGTAAAAATGAGAAATAAAAAAAAACAATTGAGAGTCGTTATTTTGATTTTTTTCAGTAAAATAACATTTTTTTAAATGGAAACCCCTGTATATTATATTTTTTTCTGTTAAAGCATCAAATTTTAAACAAAAAAGTTCATAATGACTTTTCCGCTAAAGTCAAAAATAAAGTCAAAATAACGATAAATATTTTTAATTATTTGCAGTATTATAATATTAAGACGGCTATGAAAACAACATGGCGTTCGCGATTTGACAGCATTAAGATAAGCGACAAATTGTTAAACTGGACATACTCGCAACTAGAAGGCTTTGAAAACAATGATAAAATCAAATAATGTCAAACATTAGTGTAAATACTTGTTTATAAGCTTTATTGTGTCATTAATTTAAAGAAAAATGTTCTCCCATGAAGAAAAGTGTGATATGTTAGAAAGCTATTTAGTGTGCAGAAAATCCTCCTTGAGAGTGAATTATATCCCGCTCGCATTCAACCGTATGAACGATATTTTCTGAGACTTTATCGAAAATTTAGGGGCAACGAAAATGTTTTTGCTAAAACAAGGGCAAAAAAAGAATTCATAATAAGCGAGGCCACGGAAATTGCAGTTATTGGATATTTTGAAGCTTATCGTGAGAATTCAATAGCAGATATTCTCAAGGACTCTAATTTCAGTTGTGGTACTGTTCAAAGGATTTTAAAAAAATACAAATTTATTCCGTATAAGTACCGACCAGTTCAAACGCTTTTGGCAGGGGATCCAGAGAGAAGACTTGTTTTTTGCCATTGGTATCTTAGCTTCTGTCGCCAAAATGTAAATAACTTTCGTTACCTTTTATGGACAGATGAATCAAATTTTTTAAATTCTGGAATGTTTAATAGAAAAAACCACCATTATTGGTCAAGAGAAAATCTTTTGTTAGTACATCCAAGAGGCCCACAAGGCCGTTTCAGTTTCAACGTTTGGTGCGGTATAATTGGTTCAAAAATTGTTGGCCCGTTCTTTTACGAGGGAACCCTAACTGGTGAAAGATATGTGGAATTTATGTCAGAAATTCTGACTAATTTCTTAGACGAATTGGATCTTATAAGTAGACATCATCTGCATTTTCAGCAAGATGGCGCACCTGCCCACAACTCCAGAGGTACTTATCATTTTCTAAGTACTACTTTTAATGATCAGTGGATAGGAACAAATGGCCCAATACAGTGGCCTCCCAGATCACCAGATCTAAACCCACTTGATTACTTCTTGTGGGGTTACTTAAAGAACCAAATTTACAAGCGAAGGTACGATAACCTTGACGCGTTAAAGTGCAGTTAGGGAAAAGATAACCCAGATAGATGGTAGGACCATACTTAAGACAGTTCGAGCAGTTGAAAAACGTGCCCAAAAATGTATTGAAGAACAAGGTGGTGTTTTCGAGCATCTTCTTAAAAAAAAATTGTTATTGTATTTTGTAAGATTATAAGTTGATGTTGAAAATAAAGTTTGTCGATACAATTTAATTGTTTCAGATTGGAGGCGATAACTTCAACAATTTGTAACCTAGGAGAAAAGTTATTGGAAGCTTTTTTGTTTAAAATATGATGCTTTAACAGAAAAAAATATAATATACAGGGGTTTCCATTTAAAAAAATGTTATTTTACTGAAAAAAATCAAAATAGCGACTCTCAATTGTTTTTTTTATTTCTCATTTTTACCAGCGTTAAAAATGCTACTAGTTTGCTAATTCAAACAACTTTGTATTTTCACTAATAACAAAGTTACTAATGGTGGACACTTAATTTGGATAACCCTGTATATAATATATTCGAAGTTGAGTCATTTATTTTAACAGTGTGTAGATCTGATCAAAAGAAATGTTTTTTTCCTTTAACATTTTTCTGGTAAAATTAAAGTAACAAAGTTATAGCCATTTAGAAGTTTGAGTACCGCCCTGTCTCAATAATAATATTATGTGCTCATGTTTGGCAACAACGGATATAATCCGCCTATCCGTTCATCGCATCGGAAACAAAAAAGCGAAAGAATTTGGAACGATGTTTCTACTACAATGTACAATTTTATTCAGTTGTATTCAGTCGATGTGTCAGTCGGTCACGCGTGAGTGAATAGTGGTGTTTGTTGCATGGCTCAAACGAAATAAAAAATTGCACATGTTTACCAAAATGCTGAATGTAGTACAAAGGGCTCGTGAATCAGGTGACTTAAGACCTCACAGGGCAAAGCATGCCGGTGCTCCAAGACCACACGATCAAATACAGGTCCGCACTGAAATACTTGTCGGGAGGATACTTTATAAAACAAGGTAACATTTTTTTTATTTTTTTTATTTTTACACACATATACAGGGTGACTTTGAAGTTGAGTCATTAATTTTCAGATAATGATTGTAGAAGGAAGATAAACCAGAATATGTGTGTAAAAATAAAAAAAAATTAAAAAAAAATTTTTACCTTGTTTTATAAAGTATCCTCCCGACAAGTATTTCAGTGCGGACCTGTATTTGATCGTGAGGTCCCCTGTGAGGTCTTAAGTCACCTGATTCACGAGCCCGTTGTACTACATTAACAAAGGCACGAGGGGTTGGTTGCGCTCGATTGGGAAACCGATCCGCATAAACATGTGCCATTTTTTATTTCGTTTGAGCCACGCAACAGACACTATTCACACGCTAACCGACAGACACTGACTGTATGTATAACTGAACTGAATAAAATACCTTATTGCAAAAACATCGTTCCAAATTCTTTCGCTTTTTTGTTTCCGATGCGATGAACCGGTAAGGCGGATTATATCCGTTGTTGCCAAACACGAGTACATGATATTATTATTGAGACAGGGCGGTACTCAAACTTCCAAAGGGCTATAACTTTGTTACTTTAATTTTACCAGAAAAATGGTAAAGGAAATAAACATTTCTTTTGATCAGATCTACTCACTGTTAAAATAAATGACTCAACTTCGAAGTCACCCTGTATATATATTTATTATACACATATGATTTTTGTTAGTAAGGTATGATCCATACACAGGCAATGTGAGGATTTTTCACATTTATTTGCTCATTTTTAAACAATATTTATTTGGCGAATAAATATTATTACTGCGCTTAGTTTCTCTGAAAAATTTCAACACTGGGGTAACAGACATTGATATTCATAAGTTATTGGATGGGAGACCATGTATGGACCAGTTATTGCTACTCGAAAGCTAAATATTCAAACCATAATGACTTTTGAATGAAACAGATTTCGAACCGAAAAGTTCAAAATTGGGAAATACATTAACTATTCGAGTAGTTCAGCACTAGTGCATTGTTTCCTATACCCACAAGATAAGTTCTCCATTTCCTTACCTATACCAACCGACTAATTTCAATTATTACAACTTTTATTGTCCAGCCGGATATACTGCAATAACGGCCATTTATGGTGAAATAATTAAAATTGACATTTTTTATAATTCGACAACGACTCTTGTGTAATTCAGCTGATGTCAAGAAAATCAATCACGTAACGAAAGCAATTAAATGCATAAGAGATCGCCAAAAAACATATTGAATTGTATTGTGATTAAGTTAGCCTTCCTGATTGATCATATGCATGAAAGTCTAATTATGTCCAATAAAACGCACGACATCGATTTTTGTACATGAAATAATCATTCAGTATATATCACAAAGCTTTAGCTACGATTAACATCCTTGAGAATGTGCGGACCAACCAGAACTACATACCAAAGCTCCTCATTCACGTCATAACTTCCAGTCTTAGTAAACATGCAAAACATAGATTCTGGAAAGCTGTTTGAAATATACAGGGTGTTTCAGTTTATTGTTGCATAACTTTAAGATTCGATATTAATGCATAAAGTATATAAACATGGGTCGAAAAATGCGTGGCTTCCGAAATACAGGGTGTTTAAATTTACTTTCTAAAATAGTTTTTTTTAAATATTTCGAACACTGTTTGATGTATAACAGTGAAAATTGGTATACAAGGGTTTTTTGCTACGACAAAACGAACCATGGGCATAGTTTTACTGTAGCCGCTATAGGGCGCTCTC